TCGACGTCGTCGTCGTCGTCGTTGTTTCTGATGTCGCTGTCCTCGCCGCGAGGAGGAGGAAGAAGGAGGAAGAGAAAGTGGACAAGGAGCAGGAGGAGGTGAGGGAGGGGGAGGAGAGATGAGGAGAAGGAGAGGAGAATAAAGAGAACGACAGGAAGGAGAAGGAGAGGAGAAGGAAAGAGAGGAGAAAGAGAGCTCTAACAGAGGGAGTACGGCAGAAAAGGAGAGGGAGGAGAAGGAGAGGAGAAGAGAGAGAGCTCTAACATACCATGTTAGAGCTCCTCCTCCTCATCATGATCATGATCATCATCATCATCATCATCATCATCATCATCATCGTCATCATCACCGTCATCATCGTAATCAGCATCCCCCCATGGCCCATGGCCCTCCTCCTGCTCACCCTTTGTCCTGCTATCCTGCTCCTCCTGCTCCTCATCCTCCTCCTTCTCCTCCTCCTCACGCCCCCCCTCCCCCTATCCCCTCCCCTGGACCTGGACGGGGCGCCCCGCGGGTAGTTAGAGAGCCCAAGATGGCCCAAGACGGCTCCAAGAGCGCCTCGGAGAGCCCAAGATGACCTCCGAGATGCTTCAAGATAGCCTAAGATGCCTCAAGATGGCCCCGAAGATTCTCCAAGGGGCCCCAAGAACGCTCCAAGACGGCTCCAAGAGGCCTCGGAGACCTCCACGGAGGCCCCCAAGATGCCAAAATCCTGAAAAAACTTATTATTGAAAATATGTGATTTGTGCCTTCTCGCCTTTTCGCTTCCGATGACCATCCGAGGCCCCAAGATGGCTCCAAGATGGCCCAAGAGGGCTGCTGCTACTGCTGCTGCTGCTGCTAGTGGTAATGCTGCTGCAGGTGCTCGTGGTGTTGCTGCCGGTGCTGCCAGTGATGCTGCTGCTGCGGCTGTTGCTGCTGCTGCTGCTGCTGCTGCTGCTGGTGCTGCTGCTGGTGCTGCTGCTGGTGCTAGTGCTGCTGCTGCTGGTGGGGAGGGGGGGAGGCGGAGCGGAGGAGGAGGAGGAGGGGGATGAGGGGGAGCGTGAGGAGGAGGAGAAGGAGGAGGATGAGGAGCAGGAGGAGCAGGAGAGCAGGAAAAAGGGTGAGCAGGAGGAGGGCCATGGGCCACGGGGGGATGCTGATTATGATGATGATAACGATGATAATGATGATGCTGATGATGATGATGACGCTGATGATGATGATGACGATGATGATGATGACGACGATGATGATGATGATGATGCTGAGGATGCCGATACTGCTGCTGCTGCTGCTGATGATGATGATGATGATGGTGATGATGATGAGGAGGAAGAAGAAGAAGAAAGGCGAGGAGAGGGGGATGCAGGGTACGAGGCACAGGGGGATCAGGAGAATGAGCAGGAGGAGGAGGAGGAGGAGGACAACGTTGCGCAACGGTTAAGGCCCCACCCTGGCGAGAGGGGGGGGGCCTTAACCGTTGCGCAATCGATTGTGAAACGGTTATGGGGCGGCGGCGGCGGCGGCAACGGCCGGCGGCGGCGGCGGCGGCGCTTAACCGTTTCACAATCGATTGCGCAACGGTTAAGACCCCCCCTGGCGAGAGGGGGGTCTTAACCGTTGCGCAATCGAATGTGAAACGGTTACGGGGCGGCGGCGCAGCGGCGGCGGCGGAGCGCTAATCGTTTTTGACAATCGATTGCGCAACGGTTTAAGGCCCCCCAGGCGAAGAGGGGGGTCCTTAACCTTTGCGCAATCGATTGTGAAAACGGTTAAGCGTTTACGGAGCGGCGGCGGCGTGGCGGCCGCGGCGGCGGCTTGCGGCGCTTAACCGTTTCACAATAGATTGCGCAACGGTTAAGGCCCCCCCCTGGCGAGGGGGGGGCCTTAACCGTTGCGCAGTCGATTGTGAAGCGATTGCGCGGCGGCGGCGGCGGCGGCGCTTAACCGTTTCACAAGCGATTGCGCAGCGGTTAAGGCCCCCCCCTGGCGAGAGGGGGTCTTAACCGTTGCGCAATCGATTGTGAAGCGGTCAGGCGGCGGCGGCGGCGGCGGCGGCGGCGGAGCGCCCCCCGTGGACGAGAGGTGGGTCTTAACCGTTGCGCAATCGATCGTAAAACGGTTAAGGGGCGGCGGCGGCGGGTAGGTTAGAGCTCCAAGGGAGCTCAAACATGGTATGCTACAGCTCCAGGGAGCTCTAACATGTTACGTTAGAGCTCCCAGGGAGCTCTAACATGGCATGTTAGAGCTCCCACGGAGCTATACCATAGCATGTTAGAGTATGTTAGAGCTCCCTGGGAACTCTAATATCGTATGTTACAGCTCCGTGGGAGCTCTAACATAGCATGTTATGTTAGTGCTCCATGGGAGATCGAACATGCCATGGTAGAGTTCCACGGGAGCTCTAACATAGCATGTTAGAGCTCCACGGGAGCTCTAACATCCTATGTTAGAGCTCCCATGGAGATCTAACGTAGCTTGTTCGAGCTCCCTGAAGCTCTAACATACCATGTTAGAGCTCCCTGGGAGCTCTAACATGCCATGTTAGAGCTCCCTGGGAGCTCTACCATGTGAGGGAAATCGATCAACGAAGGGGGATCCCTCAAATCGCCCTGCCCCTCGGGAGCCCACAAAATAGCCTCCTGGACCCCTCTTGGGGCGCTCGTGGAGCGCTCTTGGGCGCTCTTGGGGCCGTATTGGGGCTCTCTTGGCCCCCTCTTGGGGCCCTCTTGGGCCATCTTGGAACCATCTTGAGGCCCCGGATGGTCATCGGAAGCGAAAAGGCGAGAAGGCACAAATCACAGATTTTCCGTGAGTTTTTAAAGGATTTTGGCATATTGGGGGCCTCCTTGGAGGTCTCCGAGGCCTCTTGGAGCCGTCTTGGAGCGTTTTGGGGGCCCCTTGGAGAATCTTCGGGGCCATCTTGAGGCATCTTAAGCTATCCTGAAGCATCTCGGAGGTTATCTTGGGTTCTCCGAGGCGCTCTTGGAGCCGTCTTGGGCCATCTTGGGCCATCTTGGGCTCTCTAACTACCCGCGGGGCGCCCCGTCCAGGTCCAGGGGAGGGGGTCGGGGGAGGGGGGGCGCGAGGAGGAGGAGAAGGAGGAGGATGAGG